ACTAAAAAAAACCAGTAATTTCTTGAGTGCCATTACATTTTTTTTTTTTTTTTTTTTTTTGTCAAAACGGGTATAGAATTGACAGTAAAAATTCATTTTCACGTAAATCTGTACTTAAGGAGTCAAATCAGTCCGGGTACCTAATACCTTTTTTTTATTTTTATTTTTTATAAAATGCACAAGTATCAGTAGAAAAGTACAGAGTTTGAGTACTTTTGCCACCTCTGCTCTTAGCCGCGGCTCCACTGGGATTCTCATCAAGCACCCCCGGGGGGGAGAAAATCAATACCATGCCCAGGAGTCAGAGTTAGAGCAAAGCAGTTGAAGTTAATGAAGGCGCGGCGATGTCCGGAATGTTTACTCCTGTGTGTGTTTCCCCAAAAGACACTTTGAAGGATTTGTGCGGTATTGCGGGTGTAAATGAGCGCAGTATTTAGACAGGTCGGCTGATGTATCACTGCGCTCAGCCAAAATGACACACTCACCTCGCTTCGCTTCGCTCTTTGAACACTTTTAATAAATTGGCCCGTTTCGCACTCCACGTTATTGATGGATGGAGCCGGGTCGGGATCTTTATCGGACCGCGTTAACTCGGCGGGACGGACGAGCGAATATAGAGATGGCGCTTTTTAAAGGGGCAAACATTGTCCCAGAGTGGTCGACATACAGTGTTCAGAACTGGGAGGATGATTGTGTGTATTTTGGTGGATGAGGATAAACAACTCTTGTTTTCTCGTTATACAAAAAAAAAAAAAAAAACAACTTCCAATTTCAATGACAACAAAAAATTTCTTGTTGGTTTGATTTTATTTGGCAGCGCGTTCCCTACTTATTTTCTTATGTCCTATTATTTACCCCCAATTTTATTTTATATTTTTTTGCTCATGTTACAGTACAGTAGATTTAAGTACATTTAATTTAAATGCATTATATTTTGCATGGACCGTATTTTCCGCACTATAAGGCTCACCTAAAAGCATTCAAATTTCTCCAAAGCCGACTGTGTGCCTTACAATCCGATGCGCTTTATATATGGATCAATATTCTGATTCCTTGGACATGGTATTTTGAATGTTCTGCAAAGCGCTTTGTTACAGCTGCAGCGGTTTGTGAAAGCGTATTGTATTGTATTCTCTTTAGCGTACCTCCATCTAGTGGATGCATAGGGTAACCGCAACCCCTATTGTCGCTTGTATCCTATGCGCCTTATTTTTTATAAAGCGTAATTGTTTTTGTTTTAATGTGGTGAAAATTAATTAATTTCGTGGATGTGTAAAAAGTGTGAGAGCCACTGCCTTTAGGTTATAAAACGACTTCACGGAGCATTGCGATCATAAATGTTGAAGTCATTTGGCCGTTGTTGACCGTGCGCAGTGTGGTGAAGGTCACATCCGAGCAGCGGTGCCATTACTAATTGAGGGAACATCAAATATAAAAATGAGATTCAATGTGTTGCACCTCCGGCGTCTCCGTTGGATCGGACCGCCGGCGTCGCAGATGATTTTTGTCAGCCATCAGCTGCTGCGTGGCAGATGTCACCGCGTCGGTTGTCATGGTGATGTATTGCTTTTCCGATAGCCGTTGGCTGTATTGAGTGCACGGCGTCAACTTGTCCAAGTGCCTTGAAGGACTCGGAATGCTGCTCGCGTTTCCTTTTGGCGGTTTTGTTTTGTCTTTCGATTGCGCAGCTTCGAGGTGGTTTCCAATTTCGACCTTTTTGACGAACTTGCACCAAATTATTAACTACCCATTTTTACACACCCCCCGAATTACGCTTGCACCAGATTGATCACGACATTTTCTCAGTCACATCTCAGGTGCACGTCAGCGGCTGAAACGTTGCTATTGCAGAGCCGTTGCAGCATCGCCGGGATTTGTCATTGCCGTAAAGCGAGCGTTGGAAATAATCTGCGTGAATGATAATTCGACGGCACCAAAGGCCTCGGCCGCCCCTCCCGCCGCGCCTCGGTGAGTGATGGCGACGGCGGCCCCCGGCGCGGCGTTGAAGTTTCACCTTCAAGGCTGACCTTGTGGTGTCTATTCTCCGCAGATAAAAGCGATGAGCCCTTTTCGACACACACCTAACACCCTTCCCCGCCCCCACCCTCGCGCCTCCCTTCCTCACCCTCGCCGAGGATGCACACATCATGTCTTTACTGCCCAGGTGATGCATGGCTCCTATAGCACCCTCCATTTATTAGCAGACCCTTGAGAGGCAGCCAGCGTCGGCGCTTGGCGTATCGCAAGCCAAGAGCGCGCGCACGCAATCGTGACGTCACAAATACGTATCGTTACCGCTAATGGTGATGACTTATTGATGTAGCGGGAAACGCTTACATCAAGCCTTAGGCTCCGTTGTCTTTTATGAGTAATTTTCGTTATACAAAAAAAAAAAAAAAAACAACTTCCAATTTCAATGACAACAAAAAATTTCTTGTTGGTTTGATTTTATTTGGCAGCGCGTTCCCTACTTATTTTCTTATGTCCTATTATTTACCCCCAATTTTATTTTATATTTTTTTGCTCATGTTACAGTACAGTAGATTTAAGTACATTTAATTTAAATGCATTATATTTTGCATGGACCGTATTTTTTTTGACCAAACTGAATTTGTTGGGGTTTTTTTTTGGACAAGAGAGCAATTTCATCTGAGCCTGAAATGGCTCACTGCATAGCACGGCACCGAGAATACAAAAAAAACAACAAAAAAAAAACAGGTCATTTTGCAACCTGCGGAGTCGCTTAAGTTGAAAATGCTTACAATGTCTCTCTTTTATTACATATTTGGGAATGTGAAAGTTCTATTTTTTAGTGAGGCCCCCCCCCCCCCACAGTCCCCAAAATGTGCCGCTTTTCTAATTAGCCTCCAGGCCGCGGATGCTACAGTTACATTAACGTACTCCCAACTCTCATCGGCACAAACTCCTCTCAGTCACAGAAATGTCATGACAAATCAATACTTTTCCATCCCCGCAATCGTTTGCAAATCACGAATCGAATCTGTCAACACGCAAAGTTTGTTGACGGCGCCAAAGACAAAGGCGAGGAGCGAAAAATAAACACGAGCCCGTGACGTCCGGGGAGGAATGTGATGCCGCCGCCGTCGTCGTCGTGATGGTGTGTGGGTGCCGTGGGTGCCGCGCGGCAAAGACACAACTCAATGCTTGAAATTCATTAGATATCAGCGGGAAACAAAGCACTGACAGGTGTTTATGCAAATCACCCGCCGATGGATTCATCTCACTAATGGCGGGAAGCGGCGGTCGCGGAATGATGCGGGGCGAGGAGAGACGCCGGTCCACTTGTGTCGTCGGGAGTACATTGTGCGGCTGCACACACACACGCGGTAATTGTTGAGGGCTATCTGTTGTTGTGCTACTGGGAGAACATATGGCACATCTTTTAAAATTCAATCATATGCATATTTTGTTCTTGTTTGGACGCGCTAATGCATTTTAATGGCAGGTGGCGGCCATTTGCATATTTTTGCCGGCCTGAAATGAATGTGGCATTTTGTAAGTGCTTCAATTAGATTGCACCCCCCTCCCTCCCGCCTCGATATTAAAATATTAACGTTACGTAAGCTCACAAGCTGGAGTCGTAACGTTCATCACTCACGCCACTTCAGACGGAAAACAAACAAAAAGGTCAATTTGAGACTGATACATACCGCATTGCTCGCGAAAACAGCGTCGCACTTGGATGCGAAATGGAGCGCAACGCTCGCCGGGATGAAGGCAGAGACGTCGGAACCATTTACATTGTAGGGTTACGTTTAGGGATTTGATTAGGATTAGCTGTCGGGATCAGGATTGAGGAGGTTTCGGGTTAAATGTTAGGTGAGGGTTCGCATTTGGATTGAAGTTTCGAGTCGGAGATTTGTGGGTCGGATTCAAGATGAGCTGTGACTTCATTAATTTAGCATTTAGTTTCAGGTGAGGGCGTTTGATTAGGGGTTAAATGTAATAGTTTGGGGTTATCCGAAAGGATTTGAAAATCTGGCAGGGTGAAAAAAAAAGAAAAAAATTCGAGGACCCTTGACTGCAGTCAATCCCGTCTTGCCTCATCTCGAAATCGTTATTGAAGCATCCTTGCCATTTACTCGGAGAGAGAATCTGTCCTGTTCATGGTATTGATTTCTTTTAATAAGATTAAAAAGGTGCCCGTGTTGGTGATACTGAAGCAGTTAAAAAAAAAAAAAAAAAAAAAAAAAAAAAAAAAAAAAAAAAAAAAAAAAATCTGAGACAGCGCGGCAGAGTTTGAGAAGTTCCCCTGTCACCGTGACATCAATTAACAGCAGGAGCTTGATGAATATTCAAGCTCGCTTTCATTTCCTGTCACATGGGAATAAAGTGGCGGCCGTGCACGCGTCTTATTAAATGACTCGATGACTTTGATCTTTCCACAACTCTATTTGTCGCTTTTTATTTTTTTTCCCCACTTTCACAAAACAACAAGTTGGAACGGGTAAGTGGTGTCTCGCGAAAAATTCACCGCCTCGCTGCAACGTATCCGCATCAAACTAGGAGGAACATTTTCGTCATTAGAAATGTCACCGTCGACGCTGATGAGTCCGCGTTCCCTTGAGGGAAACTTTGCCGGAACTCATTTGTCTCAAAAGGAACCGATTTATTCGTCAGTGTTGAACCGAAGGTGGAGGAGGGCTCCATATTTCATGCTTAAACCTTCTTCCTGTCGACTCGCCTGGAAGATGAATGCAACCAAAATTTATCAAGACTCTCTCTCCCCCATTGTTTTGAAAATTCCGACCCCCTGAAGCCATTTTCATTTAGCAACGTGACATTTTGGTTCGACTTGTCTGTCACGAGCAGAAGCGCAGAAAAAGTCTCAAGGAGCCGACGCCGGAAAAGACGGCAAAAACGATCTTTCGACCAGGAAAGGCCAGTATCGTCGAATCAATAAGAATATCAGAATAAGTGTTCTTTGTTCTTGTGGCTATTCCTCCTTTTAACATTTTTTTTTCTCCCCGCCTATGTAGCACTAACGAGCCTACATGGCGTTACCGCGCATCACGCGATGAAGCGAGAGGAATCGAGGCAAGGCGGCACCGAGGCAGCGCGGCGTCCGAAGGGTTAAGGCGCGAACTGCAAAGTTAAGGAGGAGCACATGGCTGCCAGTTGACTTCACTCTGACCTGCCATCGATCGGCCCTCGGCCAGTTAGCCGGGGCCGCTGCGGTCGGAGTTAGGCCGTACAAAAGACACATAGCACACAAAGGTATATACGTGTGTGTGTGTGTGTGTGTGTGTGTGTGTGTGTGTTTGTGTGTGTGTGGTTCAACGCGTCAGACGTGTTGTTTTGAAGTGTGACTATTACGGAATGCTTTTTACTGCAGGAGGCAATTACTGCCGAGAAACACCCGATTCTTTCTCACAGGGCAAAGATATGTCTACCTTTTCCACATTCACACGCCAATTATTTGGTTCTGTAGACTTCGTTAGGTACACATGCTGACGAGGTTCAATACAAAAAAAACGAAAATAACACCGGTCATTTATAAATATAATTCTTTCTTTGTCCTTATTCGTCACCAATAAACACACAGTCTCCAATTTAGGTTTAAAATGGACATGTATGGTAAGGTGCCCATTTCCAGGTGTCCTTCAAAGATCTGCTTTTGCGGCTTTTTTTTCCCTTTATTTATTTTTTTTGAATGCAACCTTCTCAGCCGTTTTGGCTTCGCAACATCAAATTTGATAAGCAACTGCCTTTTTATGGATCGCTTTGGCCATTTCCAGCTGTCCTCCCAGGACTGACTAAGATTTTGTCGCATTTGTGACCAAATTTGAATCTACTAGACCGGCACGCTAAAATATGACAAATAAGTTTTGGTCAAAGTTTTGATGATATGCCATGCAGAATAATAAAAAAAAAATCTTTCAAATTCAGCCTCAGAAGCCAGTTTGACATAACAACAAAAATGTGGTTGATATCAAATGGAGACCCACCAAAAATATTTTGTTTGAGTGAGACCAAATTTGAAGCTACTAGGTCAACACGCTAAAATGTGATGACTATGTTATTGGTCAACGACTGTAGGTAGAGCACGTCAGCCAAGTTTTGATCTTGTCATGCAGAATAAAAATGATTTCAAATTCAGCCTGAGAAGCCAGTTGGACATGACAGCAAAATTTTGGTAGATATCATATGGAGACCCACAAAAAAAAAGTTTCATGATCCCGAGGCCTGATAAGACACGTGAAGTCACCAATTTTGGTTTTAGAGTGGCCGTTTTCAAAATTGTTTATTTTTTTTGAATGCAACCTTCTCAGCCGTTTTCGCTTCACAACATCAAATTTGATAAGCAACCACCTTTTTATGGATCGCTTTGGCTATTTCCAGCTGTCCTCCGAGGACTGATGGATTTTAGACCAAATTTGAAGCTACTAGACCGGCACGCTAAAATATGACAAAAAAGTTTTGGTCAAAGTTTTGATGATATGCCATGCAGAATAATAAAAAAAAAATCTTTCAAATTCAGCCTCAGAAGCCAGTTTGACATAACAACAAAAATGGAGACCCACCAAAAATATTTTGTTTGAGTGAGACCAAATTTGAAGCTACTAGGTCAGCACTCTAAAATGTGATGAATATGTATTGGTCAATGACTGTAGGTGGAGCACGTCAGCCAAGTTTTGATCTTGTGTTATGCAGAATAAAAAATATTTCAAATTCAGCCTGAGAAGCCAGTTTGACATGACAACAAAAATTTGGTCGATATCATATGGAGACCCACAAAAAAAAAGATTCACGATCCCGAGGCCTGAAAAGACACGTGAAGTCACCAATTTTGATCTTCGAGTGGCCGTTTTCAAAATTATGGCACTCTGCTCCTAAAATTTGAGACCAGGGAAGTACATTTTCCATCTTGCATCATTTCATTAAGCCTATTTATCAGTAATACTACAGTGAAAGTTGTAAGTCCCCAAAATTTCAGGTCAGGGCCTCCTCAAGAAAAAAAAAGATGCAAAATTGAGACATTGAGTGATTTATAATTTTGGTGAAACTGTTCCCTTGATGACGCTTGATTCCCAAGAGCTTTTCAATTTGCAACCGCTTATGTCGGCTAGCGTTGAAGACAGAAACACAAAAAGACGTCTAAAAAGACTGCCATGAATGAGCGCCTTTAGCAAACAAAGCCAATCAAAGACGCTGCAGAAATCTGCCACAATGGTAAATAAACGACGAAGGCGACAGCGACGCCTTCAAAAAAGGCTTATTTACGTCCGACGGCGCGAGCTCGAGCTCAAAGGAGACGCGTCGGCGCGGCGCTGACAACGGCGGGCCTGATGAAAGCGGCAAAGAGGAGATGGTTCCGACATATTGGATGGCCACGCAGCATAAAAATAATAACGGCGATGAATAAATAGAGACGTGCTTGTCACTGAGGGCGGCGGGGGAAGGGGAGGGGGGGGGTGGCATTGCGTTTGGCAGGAGAGAAGACATCATTCATTTGTTTCTCTCGGGGGAACGTCGACAAAGGAGTTGAGGAAGCGGCACCCATGCGCGTTACGACATGCCGCAAATCGACACTTCCTCTGTCCTTGGCGTGGCACGAGTCCGCTCCCAGGTGGTCCGCTCCCGCCGCTTCTCTAAAAAAAAAAAAAAAAAAAAAGGGTGTTCGAATAGTTGCGTCGGGGGAAAAAATGTCAATCGTCGTAAGAGAAAGATCCATTTTGATCGCTTTTTGGTTTCAAAGTAGCGTTTCAAACCAGTGTTCAAGCCTGAGTTACGGTTTTGAAACAACAATTAGGGGGTTCAAACTAGGGTTTCAAGTCCGAGTTAGAGTTTTAATATATAATTGTTTATATATAATGATTAAGAAGCATTATATCTCTATTAGAAGCATAAGCGTTCATCTTTGGAAGCATAATCAATTTATCATTGCAGGCATAAGCTTTCTTCTTTGCGAGCATAATCAATCAATATCAAAATAACAATAATAACATTAATAATAAGCGAATGTATGATAACTAAAAATAATCAATCATAAGGTTTGAAGACTGTGTTAGGGTTTCAAGTCAGGCTACTTGAAACGTGGGTTTGAAGTCTGGGTTTGGGTTTCAAAAAAGGTTACAAGTCAGCGTCAAGGGTTCAAGCACTGGGATTTTCACCCGTTTAACATGATCACATAAACTGTCCACTTTAGTAGCCCTTGCCCCTAGGGTTTCAAAGCAGGATTACGGTTTCATACTCGGAGTTTAAATGCGGCTCGTGCTTCAAATAGTAAGATTTTTATGGCCGTTTTGAGGTTTTAAGCGAGGCTTTCAAGCTCCTGTCGGGCTTTTAATTTTGAGATTCAAAGAACAAATTGGGTTAGCGTTTGAGGTTAGGATTTGGGTTTCGGTTTAAAAAGAAAATTCTCTGAACATTTTTCGCCAAATTGTATGGCAGAGGCTTGCGATATTTGACTGTGGCTGCAATCTGAGCTTGTTGGTTGTTCAGCTCCCTCTGTGACGTACGTGAGGGCTGTTCAGGCCTCCTTGCCGAGCAAGAAAAGAGTCTACCGCGTATGGGAGGTGGCGCAGACGACCCCCTACGGTCGTTGTTATTTTTGGGGTGTTAATATCTGCCGCCGACTCACGGTGGCAAATGCGAACGTTGAGCTTCACAAACAGGAAGCAGACTCCCGCCTGTCAAAAGCAGTCTCGGCTCACAGCGGGAACGTCAGCGCTGGAAGGCGCCGGCAACGGCGGGTAAAATGCTGCAATGGACGTACGCCGCACGGGGAGAAGATGCCAGTGAAACCATCTGTTCGAACAGCGCGGTCAGGAGTTTAAGGACCAAGCTTTCAAGACAGGATTGGGGTTTGTGTTTTGAATTCGAATTGATTGACTGCCAATGATTAGACCTTCAAGGTACTGCTCCAAAACTAATCTTGGGTTTCACGATTATTAGACAGGGTTAAGGTTTGGGTTTTGCATTTGGGTTTCAAACTAGGGTTGAATCGGGTTTCATACCAAGGGTTAGGGTTTCCGCTCCATGTCTTGATATCAGGATCTGTTAATTGTATCTCACCTCTGCTATCAATTAGGAGTTTGCTGCCGCTCCAAAATCCAAAATTTCCCAGCCAGTGAAGAAAGCCCCAAAGCCTCGTGGCTAACAATTAGCATCGAGAACAACAATGGCTGTTATCTTGCATGGAGTTCACTTCCTGGAGGCTTCCCGCTAATGACGGCGACGCTAAACTGCGCTCGTGTTTTTGGCCGCCAGATCACGCTTTCTTCCCACAAAGAAAAAGCCGACTCCTGAAGGAAAGCGGGCGCGCTGATGCTAATCGTGTTAATCTTCTGTTTGCCATCTGCTCTCTTTTTTTGTCTTTTTTTGCCACAAAGTCAGCGAGCATCTCCGGTCTTGGCGGTGCATGCGTGCAGTTTATCGGCCATCCTGGCGGCGGCTGGCGGTTTACAAGCAGAGCGACGGAGCTTTCACCACCATCCAGTGAGCAGCGTCGCCATGTCATCAAGTAGGTGGCGTTCTGACAATTATTAAAGACTTGACTAGGTTATCTTTTCCAGCTGTTTCATTCCTGTGGTAGGGTTTCAAAAATTTTCAAGGCTTTCAAAGAAGAGATTCTAATCTGGGTTAGTGTTTTAAATTGAACCTCACCTTTCAATGCTTTGTTTTATTTATGGACACACTCCTCAGGACAGACACTCTGCTACGACAAGCCGATGTTGGTTTCAGAGAATAACAGTGATGCAAAACGGCGCAAGTGAATGGAGACAATCATTTTCAGATTCTGTCAAGTCAAAGCTGATGTCTCGATGCATGAATGAGGCTGCTCCGTGCCACACGTGTATATGCACTGCTTAGGTGAGATGGAGAATAATAGAGAAAGGTAATACAGCAGATGTGGCCAATCCCACGTGTCACTCATTTTCTGTCACACACACACAGCACTCGGGAATGAAAAAAAATCATAGAGAGCATCTTTGCATTGAGCCATCGAGTGCACATAATGAGAATAAATAAGTATTTTGTGAAAATGATCACGTGGACTTTATGGTGCTCATCACGTGGACTCACAAAGATGGAACAGGATTTCGGCAAGCCAGGACACACATAAGAAAATAAATTAGAACATCAAATGTACTTTTTAATGACCTGTTTTTTTTACTCATATTTATATGACTTAAATATTGTTTATGGTAATATCTAGCCCAAAATGAGCCAATATCGATCTGACATGAGCCAAAATTAGGCTCACACCAGGACAATGTCAGACTTTGATGATGCAAACAACATTGTATCATCGAGGTACGATCGGACTAACGGTGGGCTGCTATTGGCTAACCGGTTAACGCCATTGTAAAAGGGCTAACACTGAGCAAAAGTCAGCTATAAAAATTGTACTAACTTTAGGCGAATAGCATGCTGAAGTGTAGCACGATTCTGACGTCGGATAGCGTTTTGGTTAATATCAGGAAAATAATATCCTGCTAACATCAAACTAACACCATTCTAACATCGAGCTACTAACAGTTCAAATGTCGGCGAATATTAGCCTAACATCAGGCCAGTATATTTCCAATACCAATGTGTAGCAACGTCATATTGAGCTGCTTCCAGCTAACATACGTGGCTGACATTTCTAAGTGAGAATCCCATTAAAATATAAACTTTTGCCTTTTCCATAAAAGTGAAGTGAAAGTTGAAAACAAATAATTGCCGGCCTTCACCTCATCACCGACTAGAAATACTCGCAAGACGGCCAAGGTTGAAGGTGGCCTCGGCATGTGGGCGGCGTCTGACAGCGGATGACAGCTGTCACTCTTCGTCAGTCTGTGGCGCGTTTCCACGCGAGCGAGGCTCAGCTGGTCGGCCGGCGTTTTTATTTTCACCAGCAAATTGATGGATTCGCGCCTCACCTGTTCCCTTCCCTTGCCTGGTTAGCGCCTTAATGTGATTGGCTGCCGGCAATGATGCGCTGTGACGACTTCTTTAGCCACTCATTAGCACTAACCAGTGTTTAGCTGTCGTTGTTTGTTGCCCCCTCATTATTCCAACACAATGTCAATCTCGACCAGAGCAAAGACGTATTTTCTAAAAAAAGTCATTATGACCAAGATAGTCCGAAGAGTATATTTATGTCAAAACAAGGGAGGGATGTTTTTTTATTTCAACAAGCGAAGTTCAAAACAAAAATACCAAAATCTGAAGCACAGAAAAAGAGAAAGTTGCATAAATAAAAGAAAATGGCCAAGTTTGAAAATACCCTAAGTTGCCCAAAAGTTAAAAAAAAAAAAAGTGCAAAGGTTCTGTCTTGATGCCTCGTTTGCAGAAGCAAAAATAATGACATTTGAACAAGAACAACTTCTGACATTTCTGTCATTTCTCGGGCGAGCTAACCTTTTCTATTGTGTTTCTTCACATAACTGCGTTTCATAGCCAGCTGCTTTTAAAGTGGGCAAGCCATGAAAGAAATGCAAAAACAGAGCATCAAGACAAGAGCTTCCTTCGTTTTCACATTTTTGTAATGTTACAGCCTTATTTCAAAATAGTGTGCCAAAATTGCCCCCACCCCCCACGCATTAATAACAGACATCACTTCTAAATTGTCACAGGTTAGCATTCACGTCGTTAGCATGTGACACATCAACAAGATTTTCAAAACAAAAAGTAATAGACTCCTAGCATAGAACAGAGAGAAATATAAAGATTCACAAGCACAGTCGAGTTGGTTTCCTCGTAAATCCCAACTATTCATACGAAACGCATTTCTGCCGCTAATAATGTCGTTGTCGGGTAGATTTGTCTTCTCCTCTCAGTGGATCTTTTCATGTTGCCGTGCTTATTCGCCGCCTGTCTGTCAAACTAATCTGCATGCTGACCTTTTACTTCTGGCGCTTGTCGCGCGACTCCAGTTCACATCAGATATGAGTAACTATAGCTCTATATTATCTTTTTTTTTTTTTTTATATGATATTATATGACATTTCATGGCTGCGCGCAAGCGTCCTGTTGCAGTGCATTTCCGTGGATATCATCTTTGGTGATTGGGATATTCTGCCATCGATTACTTGTCAGCTTGTCTCTGGATGCAAAGCTTGAAAGGCAATTTCATTAGCCTTTAGCTCTCTGTGCCATGTTCATAAACAAGACATGCGGGGAGCTAATAAGACGTCAAACTATTCCACAGTTTTAATTGCCGGGAAATCTCCGTCGGACTGATTCGCTAGAAAACTTTGCCGTACCTCGTCTGAAACACGACAACACAATGCTGGGTAATATTAACCCGCAATCAAGCTAATATGAGCGCACATCAGGCTAACATAAAGCTAAGTCATACCTCCTTCGTTGGGAACTTTAAGGACACAAAGTAACAAATACCTGAGAGCTAAAGTGAGGCTGACATCGGACAAATATCAGACCAATGCAAGGCTAAAAAAAAAAAAAAAAAAATTAAAAATAGACTAAACATCAGGCTAACACAGATACCCTGCTTATATTCAGAATATTTGCGCAGATACGCTCATATCGAAAACAGCCCATAAGGCAAAAGCAAATTTAAGAGCAGCAGTTAGCATTTAGAGAAACAAAGTTGACACCAAACTGGAATTATGCTCAAATCGGACTCACAAATGACCACTTTTACCCTTCTGTCGTAACCGCTGTGCTTGAAAAGGTTAAATTGAGACGAGATCATCATTATTACAAGAGTACATCAACTTTTTGGAACATATGCTCGACGGTGCGCCGTTTGGGGCGTAAAATGTGTTGTTGCTCTCATAGGATTCCCGGTGGGAAAGAAATAGTTTCCAAATTCAGGAAAGCTGAAATAGTGACGGAATATATTGACAATGACAAATCCTATTACACATTCAAACTCCTTCCAGATGGATTTCATGTAATAGTGCGTGTTTGCCGGATGGCTCGGTGTGGCTCCATTAGATTTGTGCGTTGGGTCCTCGCTGACATTGATGGAGCGCGTGTCAAAAAGTGCGCCTGGCATGTGCTTGTCTTCATCAATTGCTAACTGGCTTCCTTCATTTGCGACGTGACAGCGTCCTCCCCACTTGCTCGGCTAAATTGCATTCTCCCCAAAAAAAATTGTCAGCTTGACGTGTAAAAATATAAGTTTGCCATCAGGTGTGGTGACATGTTATTTTATGAGATTGTTTTTTTTTTTTTTTCCCTAACATATCCTCTGCCACCTCAAACATCCGCCGTGCCATCAAATGAATTTAGACACGCGCCTCCCGACATCCATAACTGTGGCTGACATTTCAGGAAAACGCAGATTGGCAGAAAAACAAAAAAAAGGTCAAGATGGCCTGTCAAAGTGAAAATATGCGGTTAGACGCTTTCTTAATGAGCACACAAAAGCGACATGGGTGCTTTTGCACTCTGGGAAAAGTCCATCACGTGAAATTTTTCGGACAGGATATCATTGGGCCCTTTCCAGCTAATTGATTTGTCATTGTAAAGCTAGCATTGGTTCACCTGCGCCTTTTGCGCAGAAGGTGAAATCGGCTGGCAGTGCACAGTTCATCGCGATCATCTCCATCATGCCCCTTGCGAGTGTGTTCATTTTGTGTTTGCGTCTGTAGATTGTCTTTTAGTTAGTCTGCTGTTAGCCTGATTTTTCGTCAGCACCGTACAAACCCAAACTCTGTCCAACACGGAGGACCCCGTGTCACACATTTCCATAGAACAACGCGTACTCTTTTAAGCTCTCAGGCTTCCCCGCACGCACTTTTCTGATGAACATCAATTAAGGCCTGCAGTCGAAGGAGCGCGCGCACGCCCGGACGTGCCCGGTAGCGCCGGGATAATTAGGCGAGCGAGACCAGGGCCCGTTCGCACGTTGCATCGCCGGCCAGGAGGAATTGGCGGCGACCTTTTACGGAGGAATAAGAAGCAGGTGTGCGATTGGCAAAGTGGAGAGAGCGAGTGAGGAAGAGGAGAGAGAAAGAGAAGAAGGAAAAAAAAAAAGTCCCACCCCCCAGGGCAAAATAGCCACGGGCATCAGACAACCAGTGGCAAGATGCTTTTAAGACGAAATGGTAATACTCGCGCTCTAAAAGTCCATCGGCCCCCTGGAAGAATCTCTTAGAGTAAATGGGATCGCAGCTGGAGCTTACATTGACATTTGCTATATTTGGACGCTTTGAAAAAGTCAAAAGTACAAGCCGGGTGAAAATAAAAATAAATCATGTTGCAGAGGGAGAAGCAATAACATGACCAAAGTCGAGACATGCCAGCAGTGAGATTCCAACATTTAGATCATGAGATATCAGCATCTGGGAAATTTGCGCGTGGACTTTGATCACCGTTCCATATCGGTAGCTGGTCGCGCAGACCAGCCAGAGGAAAAAAAAGACAAGAAAAAGGCTTTTTTTTAAATTTTTTGACCGTCCGTTTCGAAGCAGCGCAACACAACAGTAGTCCGCGTGTCCTTCAGGACCGGCCCTTCGCCCGCTTTGTGGTCCCGCATTCAACGTGAGAGTCCGAAGGGGCGGGCCCTGCCGCTGTCAGATAAGCGTGGCGGCGGGCGGATGGGCCTCTGGGACGTGAGCAAGATGGCGGCCGTTATTGTTGTTGTGGCTCCAAACTGGTGTCAGCTGGATGACAAGCTCGTCTATGATTTATTTATGATTTTTTTTCCCTCCAGAAAAAAAGAGAATCTGACTTGCTGGAGGGGAAAAAAAAGCCAATTCATTGTCATTAGATGCCATTTTTTTCGTGGCAAAATGACTGTTATTCTAAGATATTAAATACATAAATCTGTCATTTTATTCTCCGACCAAGTGACTTTTGTGAAAATTATTTTTTTTTCACTCATGATTCTCTAGATATCATTTTTGTCAATTCTTCTGTGAAACTTTATTCTCATTAATTGCAACCTTAGAAAAAAATTATAGAGCTTCGTCAAAAGATTTTGATTTGTATGTTCAAATTTTGACTTGCTTCCTGTATAATTCAGACAAAATACAGGTTCATTCCTGTATTCTGTTTTTTTTTCTCTCCCAAGTCTGAAGCGCTGAACGCCCTTTCTGTCGGGTTAAGTGTGGCGTCCGGCCTTTGGGATCCGATCAAGATGGCCAACGTTATTGTTCCTGTTGTTTTAAACAAGACTCGAGTGTCAGCCGGATGACAACCAGGCCACTTGATTTAACCCAATATTTTTTGTGTATATGTGGTTTTTTTTTTTCCAACGCGACTAATTGGCAGTGTGATGTTGGTCACAGGCGACACGGCGGTGAGACTTGTGCGGCATTATCGAGGCGGGCAGCCGGACGGAGGCAAACACCGGCCACGCCATCAAAGGCCGAGTGGCCCCGACTGGAAAAGGTCCCTGCGGCCGCCTTATCTCCCGCAGCCACTTGGAGGCCGCGCCAGGCTGCAGCCGCTGGCCAAGCTCTGATGTGAAGACAAGCCAGCTGTGCGCCAAGGTGGGCAGCACAAGACCGGATTAGCGCCGCTTGCTCCTTTTGTGTGTTGTCGCCACAGCAACGGAGGTGAAGGGAAAATCACACACAGCAAGAAACAGGAGGTTGAGTCCAATTGGATGTTGCTAATTTCATATAGATTTTTTTTAAAAACCTATCCCCTATTTGGTAAAAAAAAAAAAAAAAAAAAAAAAAAATCACTTCTTTGTTTCCCCAATATCAAAGTATTGCGTCGATGCCAACTTGTGGCAACTTGGAATCAAGGAACTAACTCGAAGTGAAGGGAAGGAGCTTCATTTAGTCAGGCCATGATCTCATAACTTCTTATAGCAAATTAGTACTTTGCCGCCATCTTGTGGCATCTAAAGCCAATTGGAAATCATTTTCGATGGTTATCAATGACACTCAGATTTTCATTATTCATGTCAGGGGCTCAGTGTAACATCAAAAAACGGAATTAAGTCTCGAATTTTTATTCTCAAATATACTCTTATTGTATATATTAGTGTTCGTATTGTTTGTTTAAAATATCACTTTAAAATAAATATGAAAAATACTTTTTCATGTCTTTACAACATTCTCAAAGAAAGTATCACTTTGTTTTTGTAATTCAAAATTCTCAAAAGATATTTTTTTCAAAGGTTGCAAAACTTTTTTCTTCGGGTTGTTCTCCCCCCATGTTCTAATTCCCACGCAAAAAAAAAAAAGCCTCCATCTTTTTTGTCATTGTATCCGAGTAAAGCTGCCCTAATGGGACGCAAAGCTTCCCTGCGCCACACAGTTTGATTATTTTTATTTGCTGTGGCTTCCTCCTCTTCCTCATCATCATCACCACCACCACCACCATCATCATCATCATCACCACTGTGTGAAGTGCGGGGAAGTTATTTTTGAAAACGTATTTGCTTGATTATGCAGTACGGCGGGAACCCTTGAGAGTGAGCTGATTAAAAGCCGAGACGTCGGGGGAAAAGAGTCAACAAAAACAAGGACAAGGGAAGAGGAGGTGCGACATTTTACGCCGAAAAATTAAAAATGTATTTGCTTTACTCGCACAATTACCTGGTTGACATAATGCGAACAGCACGTCGTACAATATGAGAGAGCCAAAAACAGGATTAGGCTAATTATGCTTCCCAGTAAGCCAATGCAGGACCTTTTTGATTTTCGCCTAATTAAATGGCCGACATAAATGTCAAAAGCGTCATGTTCCGACCACACTATTCTCATCAGCTGTCAATTAGCATTCGCTTAGGATGCTAATGAGCATGCACGTTCTGCAACTGGCCTCCGATTAGGCTTGGCTTAGCCGTTTTATTTGAAACTGAAAAACGTGCAAGCGAGGCACTCTCCTCCTCCTGTACGGCTAAGAATATCGTCAAGGCCAAACAAACCCAGTTTGTAAAATGTATTTTGATGCATATACATAACCTCGTGCTTATGTCATGATTTATTAGCACAGAACGCAAGGAAAATGCAAAAAAAAAAAAAAAAAAAAAAAACAACTTTCTGATCGTAATAACTTCAAATAAGGCAACATTATTTATTTTACTTATTTAACCGTTGTTTATCTTGGTAAGGCAATTACAGACCTGGCTGCAGACAAGCAAGATGAAATAAATCAAGAGTGGAAAGCAGTTTCAAAAGTGGAAAGTGAATGAGTGGCAGCGCTTCCATTGGCAAGCAAACAAGTCGACTGTGTTCGCTCCCTCAACGGCGCAAACAGCAAACGAAAGGAAACGTCACCTTTGCGCGCTCGACTTGCGCTAGGCACAAAAATAGGGCCCACGGTAATTAATAGACTAAATAGTTTGTCCGACAAAATAACAAAATATTCGTCTCTTGCTTCAATTTTTTTTTTGTTGCCACAAACACAACACTTGGCTGTCTATGTTGCTTTTTTTTTTTTTCCTCGACAAAGAAGCCACTTTTAGGTCTGAATAACGTTCAGGGCTGCGACCCCCGCCGAGTGGCTCGCTGGCGCTCACGGCGCCGAAGGTCAACACAGTCACGGAGGCGGCTAAAAGAGAGCACCTTGTGACTTCAGCCTTTTTCTGATTGACTTTTTCAAAACATCTTCAGGAATTTCCTGAACGTACCATTGTAAACAAGTCAAACATTTAATTTCAAAACACATTAATTTAAAAAAAAAAACAAAAAAAAACACGTCAGTTCAAAATTAATGGCGTCCGACATGCAAGAATTATTATTTTGTGTTGATTTAGATGACCTTAGATGATATTATCATTATTAACCCTTTCAGGCACAGCGGTCATTTGATCAATTTACTTTGATGCGCATTTGTAAAAAAGCACGTCGAACGTTCCTGAACGTAAAGACCGGCTGGCCGCCATCCATCACGAAACGCTGCGGTAATCTCCGCTTCATTGGGCCCATTTGTTCCTCGGTTTACTTTGTTTGTCGAGCGGCAGTCTGTCGCTGTTTAGCGAGAGTCCAAAAGAAGTGATTCGGGTTGTTTTTTTTTAACATTTTGTGTATGCAGGCTGTGTTACTCGCGCTCATAAATACGACACAAACGCTTTGTCGTGACGCACGAAATGATAATTGCCGGACGCGCCGGCGCGGCCCAGTGCAGATGCGAAACACGCTCATTCGCTGCTCCACTGAGGAGAAACAAACAAAAAAAAATCTTTTCAAGAGGTGAATGGAGATATGGTTGCACAAATGTGCACACCCTCTTATAACTGAGGAAGCGGCTGTGTTAAGATTAAACTCATTAAAATATCAAGGTAGGACATACCGGATACAATTTAAAGTAGCTCTGATGCACACCATGAAGTTCAGATGTTCTAGTAGGCTTGCTTGGCAATTAGTATTAATATTTATTATTGCATTCAAACTCATGTTAATATCAAGTCATGATATACCCGCACTCTTTCAAGTGCCTCTAATTAACCCCAACTAAAGTTCAGATGTTCTAGTAGGCTTTCTGGCTTTTAACAATAAAGTGTATTTAAAAAATCCCCCAAAATATTTCGATGTTCATTGATTAGGTTTCACAAAGAATTTAGAAGGACCTGAAAGTCAAGAAGTTTTCTTTGTCGGATATTTTCAGTCAATATCATCATTTCGAATCTTTTCCTACGGTACTGCTAATGTGTCACACGGGGATGATGTACAGCGGGCGGGCATCCCACTTGGCTCAACGGTCCAACACAGACTCTGATCCGCCTGATAAAAGTCGACTACGGCGGTGAAGCCATCTCCATTTCAAAAGGACTTTGACCATATTTGGCGGTGATGTTTTGATATTGAACGCATCGGTCGGCGCGTAAAATCGTTTTATTTTTCCTCTAATGACGAGCTGCTTTCAGAAGTGTGACTATAATCCCGCAAACGGAGCCCCGAATCGGACTTCTTCCTCTTCTAATCCGTCGTAGCAGGTTCATCTCGCACGACCTTGGACGCGCTAATCCTCGGCCGGGCGGGGGTTTTCGCACCAACTAAATCCAAAGAGCAACACATGCGATGTGAACATCAGGCCCGACGGAGTGTCAAGTCTGTCACTAATTAAGGTGTACTGTGCCGAAGACTGAGTGCATGCAAATGAGCTCGTTTTGAACGAATGGGTGGGTTGTCAGATCATAATGGTTTTTGTTTTGTTTGGTTTTTTTCACGACACAGGTGTGCAGCCGCCACACGGCCTTTGTCATGTGTTGGACTGGTTAAATAATAGGAGGCTTTTTAACGCTGCAAAGATGACGGTTTTGGCTGGCATGAAGCTGGATAAACACAATCTTAATGTCAGCGTTATTTTTTTTTCATGGCTTTTCAGTTAAATATAGGACAATCTATTCATTGTTAGTTGCTGAAAGTGGGTCAGGGCGGCAAGCAAACATAATGTGAAAAAAGATGAGTCTCACAAATAAAACGCATTCTGAAAAAGGAAGTAAAAATGTTTAGATTTATGGAAACAAAGTTCACGTTTAGCTTCATTTAAAGACCCTTGAAGTGAAACTTCAGGTCCCTGTTTTACCTTTTTTCCCCTACTTGGGCCCTCGGAGACTTGCTAAGCGGCGAAGTAAAATGAGTGTGAGTTACAACCACTCAAATATTGTGCACTTCATTTCAATGAAGGCGATTTTTAAACTTTGTTGCATTTCGCAATTTGAGAATTACTTATGGCGGCACCATTGAAAGTTAGAACATGTCAGCAAGCTCTGACCTTGTCAGGAAAAAAGAAAACCTCTCAGATGGCAGGAAATTGCAAAATTAATGTAAACACGGTCGATGTTTCTTTTCAGGCATAGCTTCTTGAGACCTTTTTTTCCCTTTTTTTTTTTTTTGAGTCCACTCAAATTTCATGTTTCGAAGGGAAACATTTGGTCTATTTTTTTCGGATTTTATTCTATTTTTTTTTTTTTTTTTTTTTTTAATGGCGAGTCATCAAAATTTGCAGCCATGCTTCACTTCTTGAGACTTTTTTGTGGGTCTCTTAATGATAGGCATGCCCACCAAATTCCATGTTGCCGAGTTAAATATCTGCGCCATTTTTTTTTTTCCCCCCTCTCAAATTTGAAAGCCTTAAACGTGGTGATTTTCTTGACCAATGAATAGAAACGATAAAGAAACCCAATTTTAAGTGGGCCAATACACGGTGACAGCGAAGAGAACCGCATTTACTCGGAAGAAGTTGACGCTAACTGGCGGTCATTTTCCTACACGGCGGCGCGTTGACCTTGCCACTCGGCTGTGTCACGTGCGCCGTTTGTGTTCTGGCTTGCATGCGCTCCGTCCAAGTGCCATTAGTCACATTAAAAATATGTTTCAAATGTGCTGCTGGCTAAGTGAAGCCGCGTTCTCCTTCTCAACTTCAAAGTCACATCATCAACATGATACAAAGCCCGCGTCCCATCTTTGCCATTACGTCCAAAGTACATCCACCGCGGAAAGTTTCCCAATGATCCATTTATAGATTAATTCAACTTGCCAGGGCCTTTGTTATCAAAGTCTAATTGACTCATTAGAACATTAATTGCATAAATTAATGGCGTGGAGATAGTCGTTAAATGAGGAGCCGGAGTTGAAACAAAGAGAATTCGTTTTGAGCGCGCGGTCGAAGACAACAACAACAACCGCAGCTTGGTGAAACCTTCTTGGCACAGACGCTCATTTCCATACAAACAATGTTACACCCTTTGACACTATTCAATGTTTCCTAAATTGATGGCGCTGATGAGGCGGTGACGGCGTCAAAACAAATGAGCCCACGCAAACAGGAAATGGAGGGAGCTGGTCTTCAAAAATGTAGCGTAACATTAAAAACCGGAGACAGCCAGCTCAGTGATGATGGCCATTAACTACCCCCCCCCCCAAAAAAAAACCAACACAGCCTCGTCAGCACTTTTCCAGCCATAACTGTCATTTGTTCAGATGGATGACTCGTTCGCCTTTGTTTTGCACAAAATAAATAGCGAGCGCGACGGATTTCCAGCTATGCATTGCGTTCATCTCCTACAACTTAACAGCGGTTCAAATGTTTTGACGAAGAAATATAGCACGATTTTAAACATGAGCGTGAACTCTTAAGGTGACATCCATACTCCCTGTGAGTGCTTTCATTTTGCGGTTGCATGTGTAGGTGCTTCTTCAACAACCCTGGAAATTGTTTATGTTCCTAAAATGAGACATGATTTTACCGTATTTCCCGCACTGTAAGGCACACCTAAAAGCATTCAATTTTCTCAAAAGCCGACAGCGCGCCTTATAATCTGATGTGCCATATATATGGATCCCTTTAGCGTAGCTCCATCTAGTGGATGCATAATGTAACCGCAGCCACTATTATAGCTTTTATGCACCTTATAATGCGATGTATGAAAACAGTTTTAAAATAGGCCATTCACTGAAAATGTGCCTGATACTCCGAAGCGCCTTATAGTGCGGAAAATACGTTAAAATCATGTCTCATTTTAGGAACATTTAAAAAAAAAAAAAAAAAATCCAGGGGTGTTGGCCATAGAAAACGATGGGAAGTGCTGCTCAAAGTCATTTGAAATCACAAGCAAATAAAATACATCCCCAAGTCAATTTACAAGTCAAATTTAGTGTTTGACTTTCCACAGCATTGCTTTTTCGAAATGAATGACACTAAAGTGTCATGGAACCAGCTATTGAAGCCACTGCTGGAGCTTATTACCGCTGAAACTGTCATTTATTCTTCTCTATTCAAAGTTAATAGGCTTACACAATAGGGCCTTATACTAACATATAATGGAGGGCTGCGGGTGAATGGATGCCAAGCAACCCATAATTTTAATTTATGCCAAAAGAGGATTGTTCCTTCCTGGGAGAGAAAAACAAAAATTAAAAAAAAAAAACATAATTTGCATAAGAGCATCCAGTGCCACCAATTGTAGTCAGCGTGACAAATTCACTGCCGCGATTATCAAAGAAATGTTTTGTGACATTTCTTCAAAGGCAATGTTCATCCGCACATCAATGGTAAATTAATAATAAACATTGTTGGATCGCCACTGCTGGCGAGAACGATTTGAAACCCGATGCCTTTTCGATGTTTGGATTGACCAAACGGTCGCAAAATACAGTCGACGCAAATGCATTTTCTTAGCTGACCTGTCGATGGCATGCACCACGGCCACTTCAACAGTCCAGAGCTGCCTTGAAAAGGCAAGCACACATTCAGTGTCACAGATCCTACAATGTAGAATGTGATGATGGTGACCCCTGAAGCTGCGCAGAACTGTAGCAGAAATGTAATGGCTGCGGTAAACAAGTGATTTCTGTACAGAAGACGTAAAGTAGCTTTCGAGAATATAAGCAAGAGAGTTACAGTGAACGCGGAATCGATGAACGGTGAATTTATAGTTGAGAGACGGCCGCCACCTTGAATAGACGCTTCCCTTTGTCCAACATAACTCAACTCATCTTGCTTTGGCTCTGATTGACGACAATGATGATGATGATGATGATGAAGTGCAATGTTTATTCCCAGACTCCTCCCCTGCCATCGCGCGGGCCTAAATCACAACGTGCCTTAGATCACTGTGGGCTTGGCAATAATTGATATGCAAATGAGATGCCATCCATTAGCCCCTGGCGGCCGACGTTTAGGTTATTGGAGGAAACACAAGTGACGCTTGCACCTGCTCTTCCTGGAAAGGTTTCTCCCCCGAAGACGTCTGCCCGTGGCCGTAAATCCTGGCTTTTATGCGCCACCTGGAGATGTTTTCACAGATTTATCCGCACATGCGATGCAACCTGACGCTCGTGCGGACCCACTGCCGTTAGCGCTTACATTTCATTAGCAAAGCGTAAAATCTTTCTTCAGGCAGGAAACAAGCCTAGGGTGGCCTCCGGGGGGTGTACGCTTACCTTAAATTAAACTGGGTGATGTCAGATGTCACCGTGCAGAAGCCTGAAGAGTTAAAAAAAATATATATCATATTCATCATGACAGATGCACAAAACGAATATTAACCAGCCAATTGTTCGGTTATGTGCATGTTTTTGGAATGTGGGAGTACACCGGAGTACCCGGAGAAAACCCACACAGGCACGGGGAGAATATGCAAACTCCACACAGGAAGGCAGGAGTCGGAATCAAACGCTGGACCTCCGCGCTGTGAGGCCGGCGGGCTAACCAGTCGTCCACCGTGCCGCGTAAATATTAACCAATACTGTGAAACGCAAAGAAGAGCGGCCATTTTGGTTTGAAGCAGATATTTGATGGTCATTTTTTTCTGTTTCGAAGGATCCTACAAAGACAACCTTGCCGATTTTGTCCAATTTCTGCCAAATTTGACGCACGTAGACAAGTCAGTAAATGATTGATAGAAAATGTCGCGGGAAGGGCTTGGTGTCAAAGTTGAGTCGAAATAGGATCAAAATAGGCCCAATTATTGGTATGTTTAAACCTGACCTGTTCTGATTTTGATAGTAAGAAGTCAACCTGGCGAAAGAACGAGCTACAGAAAACTGCTAAGCGGGCTTTTGCTAACTTGATGAATCCGTCTCAAAATTGGCCCAATAATGGGTCTTGCGCATACCCGGCAACAAAATGACAAACATGATGATTTTCTTCATCTTTAAAAGACGCTGGGTTTGTCTTTGACCACTTCAAGTCCAATTCGGGCTCAAATGTTTTACAGGCACGTCTGTGCTACGTGTCTGAGTCGTCTTCTATGTGAGGTACAGATATTTTTCTGCCTATTCTTCTTGTTAGCAGCAGCAGGAGAGAAAAAAAATGGGGGGGGGTTAAAAAAAACTGTCCTGAATTATCTCCTCAGTCGCAGCGATTCATTTAAAAAATCAATTTTGCAGCTTAAACACCCTCTTAGTGCGGCGGGGACAGGAAGCGGAGCAGCTATCCATAACGCTGATTAAAAAGCCGCAGAAAGACGAGCCAGCGTTGCCATTGTGCGTCTTTATTTCAAGTCAGACGGACGCACAAAAGCCAGCTGCTCGCTGGCTCGCCGCCGCTTTGTCATCTTAAAGTGCGCTCGCTTATTGTGCCGCCGTCTTTCTTCTTTAGCTTCTTCGCGCGTCATTCCCAGCATCCACTGTTCCGTGTTTGGCCCCCTTTGCTAATTGGGAAAGGATTAATGAAGCAAACAGAGAGCGCTTCTTCCCGCCGGTACGAACACGTTTGACTGAGGATCATTTGCGCGGAGGCTTGAAAAATTGTGTTATGAATCATGTGTGGCTCATTGAGCACGTCCTCAACACATCCTGGGCACGCCGAGAAGAGTGGATTTGCACGACGGGGAGCAGCTCAAATTCAGAGGCATGATAGGCCTATTTACCATTTAAAAACATTTATATGTAGCTAGCTTAAACTTAAGTATCTATTAGCACCTATTATCGCTCTCTCGCTATCAAAAATTCCACTTCCTGGCACGTTCTTCGGTAGGCTGTCAGCTGTTTTTGTCACTCCCAGTCCAAGTTCACCGTAAAACAAACAAATCAGACACCAAAAGGCTCAATTAAAAGCGATTGTTTCGTCAAACGAAAGTTCTCTCGCTGAATGCTATCATGTGACGTGAAGCACCACAGACAGGCTAACGGGAATTAGCATGGATGTGACTCAAATGATGAAGCTTCAGACAACTACAAACGCTAACAGGAATTAGCATAAATTTGATTCAAATGCTAAAGCTTCAGAAAATAACGATTTTTAACACACAGGGTGCATCAACACAAACAAACTGGGACATACAACAGTACTCACGAGGTTTTTTTTTCTCTCTCTGCCCAGTGAAAATGAAGATTGGAGATTAGTCGGGGGACCTTCTCTGCCTCTTCTTGCTGTTCAGTGCATGACATCAATCGATGGTCAGCATTGGTCATGGAAAAGCGTGAGTAGCTTTTTCTGCTTTTGTGCGCCATCCAAAAATCTTTTTGTAGGTGTGCGCCGCGGCCTTCTTTTGAGTGGCCTCCAGTTACACACACACACACACACACACACACACATACATATATATATATATTTTTTTTTTTACACTTGCAAAATCCACCTGCTCTGAAGTTGCATCGTCGTTTTTTTTTTTTTTTTGTTTTTGTTTTCTGGTTGCGATAGAAAATATCCATCTTTAATATGTGTGCTTGGGTTTTGTTTCTAGAGAAAGAAAGGATAATCATGTTCCTGAGCTCCTTTTTAGAAAATAAATTGGTCTGATTGCTGAGGCTCTTTTTTTTTTTCTTGGAAACAAAAATCTGTTAATTGGCTTCTCATTTAGAAAATAGGACTTTCTGATCTTTATTTTTTCATACTTATTTTTAATAAATAAAAGTATGTCTTGGGCTTCTTTTTCTTGGATATAACAGCCATTAAAGTTAGCCTCTGAAGTTTTTTTTTTCCCCCCCCAATAAAATAAAAGTCTGCTTCGTGCCTGAGAAGAAAAGAGCTTGGTCTTGAAGCGGCACACGGCTGGTCAATAATTTCTCACCAATTTAATATTTGAGGGTCGGATTATGAGAATTTAATATTTCAGGCGTTCCTTTCCTTATTCTTATTTCTATGTGATCACATGTATGCAAAACACACACACAGCGATATACATAGACCTGCACTTTTCTATTCGGTGCATCACGTGAAATGTACGAAGACATTAAAAAATAATCATCATTTAAAAAAAAAAAATCTGATTTCGGCATTAAATGGGAATTCTGAAATTTGATCCAGCCTTAGAGTGCGTAGGTGTAACTGATTTTGTGGCAGGAAGTGAGCATGCTGGGATTTTTTTTTTTCTTCTTTTTCGGTCCGGCGCAATCAGCGCGTCAAGCCGTTTATCAGCTTAGCTGTTGATGAAAACATGACTGACCTATTGGAAAAAGGCTTCTTTCTCATCTTGTCGTGGTTTCCTGCCTGCGTGCGTGTGCGTACGTGTGTGTGTGTCTGTGTGCGCCTGTTTGTGTGTGTGCGTCAAAAGAATGGAGTTGTTGAGTGTCGGGATGAAAGGTTGTGATCAGTGGAAAGTCTCCAGCTATTACTTGTCTGCCTCTTACCAATGATTGGCCATGTCTGCTTGCCGCGAGTCCTTCAGGAATAACAACATCGTGTAGTTTGATATATTTTATTAATACAGGATTTAATTGTTTATTGCATGGACGTGATAGTCATGATACATGTCGGTGGGCATTTTCCTCCGACAGAGAGAATTTTGGCGTGTGTGTGTGATGCATCTTGCCCTCTCCGACAAAATGCCCCAAACAAGCATAGAAAGAGGAAAGCGGAATCCATAATCATTTGATTTCATGGCCTGTAACCTCTATAAATTATGCCATGGCAACGCACTTTCCATGTAATGCTCTGGGGGGCGAGGGGAGGGGAGGGGAGTACACTACTGCCCGTGAATAATAACCAGCAGAATGAACGAGACGTGTCAGACTGAAGCTTCAAAACACAAACAGAGAGGTTGCGTTTCTTTTTGTTCGCGTGTCATGGCCACAAGTCACATTCGCGCAATCGTAACTAGGCACGGCCGATTATCGATTACTTGGTATCGGTATCAGTCTGGTGCAGGCCATATTTGCTTTTTTTGTTTTGTTTTTTTTAAGGTGGACGATGCCAATGTCTAATACTTAAGGGAGAAAAAAAATCGGACATTGAGGAACATATTTTCCTCACAGGTAGTTGGTGCGATACATTTTGAAACATCTTGCTACTCAGAACAGAAGAAGAAATCTAATTGAGTCGATTAAAACACTGAGCCTCATTTACCAAAAAAAAAAAAAATTAAAAAAAGAAATTAAAAGAGACCACAGGAGTCCAACTTAGGCCTCTGAAGGAACCAGTTTCAAATCCGCGAATGCATCCACCAGCCTCCCTCGGTCGGATGCTAAAACTTTTGGTGCCTAAGTGAAGACCGAAGGAGGCGAAAAACACAGAAAAAGGTCCCCGCATTTGCATTCGAACGACTCAGCACTCAAGCTCGGCCAAAAAATGTTGGAAATGATGGAGCTCCATCAAACGCTCGGCGTCATCATTAATTCACGCCGGGCGAAGACTTGCTCGGAATCCTGAAGTGAGCGACGCCAAAGAAGGTTCCACGAGTCCTCACACAAAAACGACCCAAAATCAGGCGAAGAAAAAAAAAGGCTGTTTCAGCTCTTTAGATCCAAGATTTATTCATTTATTTTCTTAACAAAGTGAATAAAGTTCAAGAGCTGGCCAAAAACGACCAAACAAAAAGTCTTTCCATTTCCCAAACGCAAACGTGTGGTTCCAATCATCTTTTCAAATTCTTTTTTTAAGATTTTAAAGCCACGAGCGACGCAATAAACCCAAGGACGAGCTGACTAAGCAGTGGAAGCGAAGCGCCGAAGCTTTCCAATACTTCTCAGTCAAGCGTTCAAGACGAGGGGATGTTTGATATCACTTTTTTTTTTTTTTTTCAAACCGATACCAGTGCAAGCGCTTACCCTTTGAGAACTAGCCCTTACCAAGTACCGATACCGTCCGTAATTTGGATCTCTAAAAATGTCATTGATTCGCCAATGGGCGAAACTGCCGCGGCATAGCGCCAACTACTGCAGAGGAGGACTTAATCCATGTCGGATTATGTATTTTGCCTTCAGTATCGTTGGCTTGTTTTGGCAGCCTCCACGAGTTCCGTCCGATTCCTTCAAATCAGGCTGGTATCGTCCTGATACCGATACCTGGTGTGTGTCCTCGCCCGAAAGAGATTTGTTTTCAAACTGTCCACTGTCGTGACCGCTGTGCCTGAAAGGGTTAAATTAGTTCATGATTCATAAAAAAATAATCATATCAATTCGTGCAAAATCTGAAATCGACCACATTTGGAAATTCCGGGTTTCTACTCGACAGCAGTCATGACGGCGCCTACATTGCGAACACAACCTGGTTCACTTTAATGTCACGTGTGACCGCACTCAAAAGGCCATTCATCTTGAAAACAGAGACCAGAGCTGCTCCGACATTCTTAAAAGTCCATTTAACGTCCGCCATCTGCGTCGTCGACGTTGTTTACTTTCGAATCAGGCCTCGCTCAGATTGCAGCTACCGTGAGATGACGCGGCGGCGTCTTAACTCCCAGCTCCATATCGGAATGCTGATTTCCGCGCAAATGAAGCCACTGAGAGACGAAACAAAACCGAGGTGTGATCAATTACTTCCCAGCTGTTGTGCCGCCGGATCCTTCGTGACCGGCTGCTTAAAAAGACGCTGTTCGACGTCAATAACCCAAACGTCGACGTTGTGCCGGCGTGTGGCAAACGGCGTGAGCAAGAGTGGTGTGTGGGGAGGCGGAAAAGGGGTTTGGGGGGCGGGGGGAGCGACGTGAGGGGGAAATAAGGGAGGTAATCAGTAGGCCGAGTGACTGTGGAGGTGAAAAGTGGGTGACGCTGATGGGAGCTGACGCGCAGAATTGGGAGAGGATCAGGAGACGGCGACACTTGAGGAAGCTGTTTCCTCAGCCTGGAAAACTTTGATTTCATTTAATGGAGTGCTCATTAGGATGGAGAAGTGGGGAGGGTGGAGGGGGGGTTGGGGGGGGCGGAGTATAGCAGGGAAAAGAGCTCCACTGGAAATCGGATGAGGCGGATGATGCGAGAGGGTTTCCTCGAACACAAAGTGCGTTGCTGTTTGTTTGTCTCTGCGCAATTAATGTCCCGCCGGCTCAAATCGCAGGTGAATTTCGACTAATTTCACCGAGAGAGAGAGACAGAAAACATTTACAAAATCACACAAATACCAATCAGAAACCCGAACCCAAATACAGGCATCAAAGCTTCATTTGAAAGCCGAAACCTCGTCCGAAATCCAAAGTAAGCCTTTATACCCAAAGTTGAAAATTGATCCCTGACTTGACAATGTCATTAGAAACCCTCATTTGAAAGTCTTACCTGAGTTCAAAACCCGAACCCAGGCTGGAAACCCTCAATCGAAACTTTAACCCAGTCCAGGAATCCATAAATTGAAACCTTAACTGAGGCTTGAGTCGCCAAGTCGAAAGCCTATTTTGGAAAAACTCTCGTTTGAAACCCTCATGTAAGTTATGAAACTCTTAAAATCCTCAACCTATTTTGAAAGCCTAACTGAGGCTTCAGACCCCAAGGTGAAGCCCTGACTCTGTCTTAAAACCCTAAAACTGATTCGAATCCCCTTTCGTCCTCATTTGGAAACTCCTCCCCCCTTTCGTCCTCATCCCCCTAAATTGAAACCTCAGCCCTCAAGAGTGCGACGAGGTGGGGACGAGAGAGCAGGACTGGAAATCAGATGAGGGTGATCAGAATTGACACGGACTATGCGAGAACATTTGCTCAAACAGCAAGCGGGTTGCGGTTTGTTTGTCTCGGCGTAATTAAACTCCCGTGGGTCTAAATTGCAGGTAAATTAATAATCATTCTACCAAGAGATACACAGAAAATAACAGAATCACACGTCGACGCGGATCTCGGTAAACATGCAACCCCTTTGCCCCCCCCCCCCCTCCCCCACCACCACACACACACGGCCTCGCGTTTACACCGAGATGCGAGAATGCAGCCCCGCCTTCTTTAATCCGTGCACGAGGGAGGCGAGAATGATGAAGCACGAGGACTCGGCTGGCTATCAGATGGCGGCTTCCTCCTTGTTTCCTCACATGTTAATTACTTTGGCCCGTTTGCATTTTATTTATTTATTTATTTATTTTTAATTTATCTGCCGCGACTGATAATCACGAACGAAGAACAGACACTTGCCTCGCTTAATTACGCGCCGGCCCAATAATTATTGAAGATAACTGGAGTTGAAATTTTAACACTGGCTTGAGACCGTAAACCTTACTCCAGGCCAAAATCCGTGAAATTTAAGCGGCGTCCACATGAAAGCACTTCATCGCGATGGATGACG